GTCACAGTACAGACAAAAGCTTAGCACAGTTTCATCGGGGTCGCAGGACGGTGAGCCGAGGACTGTCTTTCTTACGCGACAATCCCCCTTCAGTTTCCGGTGAGACCACATCACAAATTCCTTCCAACCAACTTTCCCTTCGAAATGAAGAGTCATGCCACAATATTTTATGCATTATTGCCAACGTGGGGGAGACCTGTCGACCCATAAATATTAACTTATATGAACATTAAACGGTCTGCAAAAGTTTGTTGGTCTAAAAATCAGAACGGGCCTAACACAGGGCATAGGATTCCGGATGGACTAGTTTGAATCGAATGCTTAGCTGATATGGTGATTATAAATTTAAGCTGACTATCAATGAATCTATAGAAATAAATACAACAGCCTTTCATCAGTTGATCATGCGTGTGTATGTATATATTTGCATATAAATATATATATATAAGTATATGTGCCTGCTCATGTATATCTAATCCTCTATTTTTTTCCGCTCATCAGCTTCTCGACACTTTGCTTCTTGCTCCTGTTAGTAACGCACGTCAAATTAATGCCGGTTTCGCTCGTAATTGCGATATCTTCAAGCCTTCGAATCATCCATCTGAAAGAAATCTAAAGTCTCTTGTTGCATCTGATAGTCAATCTGGTTGTCTCTCTTCATTTTTCCCAGCTTCACTGCTTCCTGATCCTGCTCCCTCAGGCCATCCTCTAACTTTAAATCAGTCGGTTACTTCATGTGAAATGAATACATTGGAAACGCATGCAATAGTGAACACATTCCCTTCTTCAACTTCACCTCCTGCTTCGATTTCCATCCGAACGTCTCTACTTGGTTTAGACTTGCCTACATACTCATCTACAGCTCTTTCTATCCTTCCAACTACTTTAGCTCCAACTACATCATCAACAGCAACTTCCGATTTTCCAGACGTCCTTGCTTTCAATTCATGCATCTCAACCTCAGATTCAGATAAATTTTCTCCTACCTCTTCACAGATTTTCGTTCCCACTCAGGATTCTAAGAGAGGGCTTGAGCAACACGAAGTTTGCAAGCAAAATTTTTTTCCCCTTTTATCTTCCCCACTCTCTCTGCCAATGACAGGTGATTCTGAATCATCTTCCACAGTCACTCTTCCTGGCATCCATGGCACCGAGATGAATCTAGATCATGGCGTCGGCACAAATCCGAATGATAAGCCTTCTCTTGGTTCTAAAGTTTCTATCTCTAAAAAGTCGAGTGAGGGCGTTTCTCTTCTTGATTTTCTAAACCGCCGTTCAGGTAGTGAAAGCCTTTTAGAAACTAAATGTTCGCATGTGGCCGCTATCACTCCAGTTACCACCTTTAACAATACGGCTACAGTCTCTCCAGATAGCTTGACTGGAATTCTGACTAGAGCCGATAAAGGTATTAGTATTACGTCTGTCTTACCCACAACAATGCCTGCTCTCAAGACACCGCTCCAAGTAACTGAATCCACAGTAAGAAAGTCTCCATTTTTGCCCTATCGGCTTTATCGAGTTTCTCGTCGTCCAATTTTAAAATCTAAAGAGAATGCTTCCAGCAGTGCTGTCTTTCACTCCATTCCCACATCCATTCGTGTTCTTGCCAATGATCGTCAGTTTTCCAACATGCGTGATGACATGAGACAATCTGCCTCCGTTGCCACTTCCTCATTGGATAAAACTCTAACGAGTATGGGTGAGCCATTCTTTGTATTTATTATCATTATAATTTTCTATTTTTTATTATTCTACTTAAATATTTAAAGTAAAGACAAATTATAACGCTATTTTGCCATCTCTATTCTGTTTTTTTATCTTAGATATTTTTATCTGGGTGTAAAATATACTTTTTATGATTTTTTGGCCTTGGCTTTTAGATGAAACAGAATTCAACCATAATGGAGCTAGTAATGTTGGCTTCGTTTCTGCTTCCAGACGCTCGGAAGTTCTTAACATAGATAAAGATAATGCGGAATCGGCTTCAGCGTCTATGCGTCTCATTTGCTTTGCGTGCCCTCTAGAAGAATGTACTGCCATATTTTCAGACAAAGTCTCATTCTGTAATCATTTCATGGGTCATCTGGGCCCGAGACGAAGTTTCCCTGGTCGTGCCTCCCAAGCAACCGCCGAGGCGTTGATCTCCTCTCCACCGCTGAAACTCCAGCGTCAAAGCTATCTGGCTGAGTCACCACTAAGGCCACGATCACCAGTTCGACCACTCTCTGCTTCTTTTCGTCGCATGGCCACACGCCAAACGGATACCAGAGTTTTCGCTCAAGGCGATATTCTCTTTACTTCAACTCCCTATGAGGCCTACTCGGACGCTTTTACAACCGATAAATTCTCTGCCAATTCAAATTTGGTTGCACCCGCTCCTATTTCGTCACAAGACGAAAACAGAACAACTCACTGTCTTAGATACGGCCCCAGTCGTCGTCTACCTTCTCCGATTCCAGCACTGCGTCTACCTTTTTCCAAGTCGGAACCCACTCAACTACCACAGTCACCACCTCTGCCACATATGTCCAGTAAAAAAGCGGCTTACATATTTCCTGTCACGCCCTCCAGTGCAGAGTTGATATCGCCTCAAACCAATCCTGCAGAATGTGATCGGGTGGTAAGGTTATGCCCTGCAACTGAAAAGGTTTTGGATTTGGCCTGTGAGTCGTCTGAAATGAGTAGAGCTGGGAATACAAATATGGGAAAAATGGATGAAAAGCAAGAGTTCGACCTTAGCGAAGAGAAGAGTGAAGAAACACAGAAGGCAAAAAAACATACTCAACCTGATGGCTACCTCGAAACAAGTAAGGTGCTTGAGTCAGGTTGCTTCGCTTTGCCCTATGCACAGTCACATGCCGATTCCTCTCTTTCATCATCTGCTCATCTGGTAAGTGCACTGCTTGCCTGACTTCTAATAACTGGACTTAGTCTAACCAACTTAGATCAGCTTCTTGATAGCCTTATACTATTTATTTTAAAATCATTTTGTTGAGCTTACTTCCATTTCTAGTGGAAGTGCTTGATAAAGAGATTTTGAGGCCGATCCCAACAGAAGAAAATGGTGAATTCTTCTTGATCAGTTGTCGGTTGGCTTTACTGGAACATTCTTGCTGACGCTGTTTCCGAAGCAATCTCCTTCAATTCTGGTTAAAATATGCTAAATTTTTGTCCGTCGTATAACAAAGGACCTGAGCACAAAATAAGATTAGCTATCACAATTAACGGATTAAAAGTACTCAAATAGTAGGAGAGGGACAGAAAGTTAGGTAGAACCCACTATAGTGTTGCCTTGATATCGTTTTCACAACTTTTTCGGAGTGACAGGGAGACCTTGTGGGACGTACTTAGTCCTGAGTCCTCCCACAGTATTCATGCTTTCCAGCATCAAGCCTTTGATTTATTAGATTTCCAGAAGCTTCGCCGGAATCGTCAGTGAGAGGCGCCATCCTTAGCAGATAATTTAAGTTGTAATTCTGTGCTAAGGATGGTATTATCACCCTGACGACGCCGGCAAAACGTCTGAGTATACCAAATCACCGGTCCGATGCTTGAAATCACGAATACTAGGACAGACAATGCAGGATTATGTACGCTACACAAGGTCTCCCTTTCGCTCCGACCAAGTTGCGAAAATGTGGTCGAACCAAAGATTTACAAATAAAGCAGACTGTGACCAAACAAAAGGTCACGGAATCTTTATCTTCATATCTAAGAACCTACTTATGCTTTATATATGGCTTTATGGATAGAGGGTGTTAATCATCTACAACTAAAAGGCGATTCGACTAGTCCGCTCAAAAGCGCCTAACTACATTCACATCTTTTCTACTCATCTCATCTACTCAACCATATGCAAATCTGGAATTATGTTGTAGCAATAATGCATTTCCTCTTCTTATTAGGCCTTGATGACCTGAGAATAAAGTCGCACTCTCTGCTAATTACCCTGAACTCTCAGCGTACCCCCTACATACACTCCTAAGCATGTATAAATAGATTTTCATGGAATGAAAATAACAAGCCCATTCTTCATCCTTCACCTGGTTCCTTATTTTTATTTTTATTTCTATCGCATGCAAATGAGTGCCAGTTGGATTAATTCACTTGGCTTGGCTCTGTCAATGTCTGCCATATAACTTACATTGAACCCAGAAAGAATGCGTTTCTTTCAGCTGCATAATGTCCGAATACATAACAACTGGAATTTGCCACTGTCCTGTGATGAGATTTACCTACGAGTCTCATCACCAATCATTTTCACACGAGTTGAAAGGCATTAAGTCAATAATTTAAAACTTGCTTGCGGAAACCTGGACAGAACCAAATCTAATAAGGATATATCTTTTAGTTTATCGTAGATCTGAACACCAAGCTGGTGTAGTCTTAGGTTTTTTTGAAGTTTCCTTTTGCTGCATATTTTTAGTTTGACCACGTTTTTGCAACTTATAATGATTTGTAGATATTGTGGAACTTATCTACTCCTGTGTCCTTCTCTATGGTATTAATGTCAATT